GCCGGCCCAGATGGATCTACCAGAAGCCAGGAGCAAACAGCGCATGCTGGAGCCGCTCGGTGTTCCCAGGCTTTGCCGCTCGGTTGCTGCAGTGGGTTGACCGTGGCTAGCTGCTGGCCACCCACCCAGCCGCTCTCTCGCTCCCCGCTCCTCGACAGGATGGGGGAAAAAATCAGATGGGGAAACCCAGGGGTCACGACAGAGGCAGGGTGATTACTTAGCAATGACTGTCACAGGCAAAACAGACTTGACTTGCGGAAAACTAACTTATTTCCAGTTAAAATAGATGAGAAACAGAAAATCAAAGCAAAACCTTCCCCTGCTGCCCTTCTTCCCAGGCTCACTCCTCCAACCCCCGAGCGGCGCAGGGCGATGGGGGCTCTGGTCAGTCTGTGACAGCTCCTCTCTGCTGCTCCATCCTCCTCACACCTTTCCCCTGCTCCAGCGTGGGCTCCTCTCCAGGGGCTGCAGCGGAATCTCTGCTCCAGTGCCTGCAGCACCTCCTCCTCCTCCTCCTCTCACCTGGCTGCTTGGGGAGCTCTGAGCTCTGCCTTCAGGACACCTAGGTGCTAATTGCTTTAGAGGCTCTGGAGCTACTGGACTCCAAAGTTCTGGGATTTTTTAGGAAAATAAGCCCACTGGGCCACAGATACTGTGCAGGAACTCCTAAAGCACTGCCTACCACCCCCCGTCTGCTGTCACTGTGTGCACTGTGCTCCTGCAACAGCATCACGGTCCCTCATGCTCCTTGGCTTTCCCGGGTTAGCAGTGGGGTAGGGGAAGGGTTGGAGCCGTGTTGTTCCCTTATCAAAGAGCTGGAACAAACCTGCCTGGGGGAAAGCAGGAGATAACCTTGATGTCCCACAGCAAGGCTGTGTTGCGATGTGGTCCAGCTTCTGATGCCCAACACATCTTGGGCAAAGCCTGCCCAGCTCCTGCTGGGAATCACTGGGTTCGATGGAGGATGGCGGCAGGGTGGTGGGATGGTGGCAGAGGTGACAGCTGGCTCAAGAAGCACACATATGTGGTGGGTGTCACCTCCAGCACTTCTCACATTGCTTTCAGTTAGAGAGGTATCCAGGCTGGCTGTGGAAGTCTGGGTGGATGCTGGTTTGTGATGGCCGTTGTGGCGTTGAAGCCAACTGAGATGACGCCACTCAGAACTGATGATGCCCTCCTCCCTAGTGCCTGCGGACTCGGATGGGCTCCTCTACCTGCCCTACAAGACACTCCAGTCCACCCTCAGCAGCATGGTGTTCAGCGAGGGGGAGGCCCAGCAGCTCATCGAGATCTTGACGGAGAAAGCGGGCATCGTCCAGGACCCTTGGCACACGGTAGGGCTGCCGGCGCCATCGTGGCTGCCTGGCACCGGGGCTCTGCCAAGCCTCGGGGGCTGCGCAGGGGAGGGGAGGGGAGGTGCCCTGTTTTTGGGCAGTCTCGGAGGCTGGAGCTGAATTTTCCCCTGGAGCAGAGGGCAGGGTCCCACGCGTGCGGGATGGAGGGGGGGGTCCGGAGGTGGTGGTCCCCACTGACGTGCCGCCCCACGCTGGCAGGCCACGCAGAAGGGTGACCCGGTCACTGTCCTGAGACGCCAGCTGGAAGAGAAGGAGAAGCAGCTCACCGCCGAGCAGGAGGACGCAGCCGCTGCCAGGAACAAGCTGCGGGAGCTGAGCAAGGTGAGCGCTGCGTGGTCCTGACAGCGTCCCCGGCACGGGCTCTGCTCGGCGTGGCTCACCGTGTGCCTCCCGCGCCCCAAATCACCCCCTTTGGAGGTGAAGCCCAGGGGCTCGCTGGGCCCTTCACCTGCTGGATGTTTTCTCCCCAAACAGGGGAGGGAATCCCCACCTGACCTCCTCTCCCACACCTGATCCAGCCCAAAGAGCCGCAGATTAGCAAAGCCAGGGAAAGCCCTTCCCGCAAGCGACTGCAGCTTTCTGCTGCTTTAGGGAGGAAAATAACCCCCTTCTCGGCTCTGCCCGCACCCCCTGAGCTGAGAAGGTGCCGGTCAGTCCCTTTTTAAGGAGCTTGATCCTCTTCACAGCCCCTTCCCCAGCTCAGCCCCCTGCCTCCACCTCTTTTGTTGGTGTGGAAGGTGGAACAGACCCCCGCCACGCTGGCCTCGGCACCTCCTGCCTTGCAGCCAGCAGGACCCGGCAGCGGCAGGTCCGTCTGCTCGGAGAGGAGAGGGCAAAGCCATGCCATGCGTTCAGGCGCTGTGCTGGACCCAGACGGCGCAGGGCAGTGGTGGGGCATTGCCCAGCTGGCCAGCGGAGCATCCCCGC